CTTAGGGAGGTTGCCTTCCCATTTACTTAGGGAGGTTGCCTTCCCATTTACTTGGGGAGGTTGCCTTCCCATTTACTTGGGGAGGTTGCCTTCCCATTTACTTGGGGAGGTTGCCTTCCCATTTACTTAGGGAGGTTGCCTTCCCATTTACTTAGGGAGGTTGCCTTCCCATTTACTTAGCAAGTTTGCCTTCCCATTTACTTAGTAAGGTTGCCTTCCCATTTACTTAGGGAGGTTGCCTTCCCATTTACTTAGGGAGGTTGCCTTCCCATGTACTTAGGGAGGTTGCCTGGTTGCCTTTCCATTTACTTAGGGAGGTTGCCTTCCCTTTTACTTAGGGAGGTTGGCTTCCCATGTACTTAGGGAGGTTGCCTTCCCATTTACTTAGGGAGGTTGCCTTCCCATTTACTTAGGGAGGTTGCCTTCCCATTTACTTAGGGAGGTTGCCTTCCCATGTACTTATAAAACTCATAGGAAAACCCTAAGTTGGTTTCCTTGTTTCGGAGCAGGACCAGGTGCTCTGATCGAAAACATCCACAGGTGGGGCCTGACAGACTGCATCGGTCAAAAGGTTCTGCTGTAGACGCGGATTCCAATTCCAATCGGAGCGTGGATGTGTATGCTGATGGTCGGAATATGGAGGCTAGGGGCAGGTGCCACTACAGCTGGAGGTGATAAACGCATGAATTCCCTTCCAAGAAAAGCATGCCGTTTGGAGTTTGCGCCAACTATATATATATAATCTGAACCATTCTGAAACCACTTAGATACTTAGTAAGGGTTTGTTTCTGGCTCTGTTCAGAACTCTCAAGCATTCAAATCAACCTTGAACATAGGGCTACCATGCCACAAGTACCTCGTAAGCCTGCTTGGAACAATCAACCACTTAATTACTTGCCTGCCTGTCTTGCGGCCACGAGAAAACAACTGCTGGAGGGACCTGTTTGAGTGTCGTCCAGGGCGCTTGTAGACTCGTAGACCTGTTTTGCCAGTTTTGCCCACGGTTCAGCCCTCCTAAGAATATCAAATTTTGGGTTACAAGGGACTACAGTCTGAGTGTTTGGGTGCAGTATTTACACCAGTGGCCAAGACTTCACACCCGAAGGATTCGCCCGACGAACGTCACCCAGTCGTCAAAAAAAAAACACACCGCTTGACACTCCTCGCCGCGGAACTCCTCGGATCGCCGAATTCCCGGTGTCCGCAATCCAATACCCTGCGCGCCGTCTGTGGATGTGTGTGGTCTCGGAGATTCTCGGAGATTCTCGGTTGACCGCATGCTTTTGAAAGGACAACAAGGACAACCTAGCATCACCTATAGCCAAACATGATGCCAGTTTGCAGGTCTTTGTCCTGTTGGAAGGGTGGATTGTTCAAGGTATGTTGCATAAACCAGTTTGAAGAGGAGGGTGATGGATCCAGGCTGGTGCCGGGGATTGAAGAGTGATATTGCACCCCAAGCATGGCGATCGAACATGCGGATCTGATTATCTGATATACAAATATGTACAGTACAAATTAATTATGTAGATGATTTTATCACAGGGGATCTTCAGTGGTGCAAGGATGTGAAGGGTAAATGGACTTTGACATTGCTTGGCTGATTTTTCTGCACAGCTTTGTGTGCTGCCCCAACTCCTTTATCGGAAATACATAATGACAACATGATCATGTCGCTGGAAACCTGCGGAACTTCCGGGAAGTCCTTCGTCAATCAAGGATCCAGTCTACATATTACAAGACCTTGAGGCGCCTCTCCTTCTCATCAACAAGTCCTTGCAAGTCCACCACTCTCCACTCCTCACCCGGAAGCAACTCTGGCACCATGGTTCCAGCGGGGAGGAACTCATAGCCACCAGTTTGCTTTTGGTGGCCTCGAAGACAGGCACGTACGCAACTGCGGTGTAGCACGAGGGTCTTTGCTGCACATGCTATGGATGGGTACCGTGTCCACTCATCCTCAGACCCAGCCATTCTGCCAAGCACCGGCTTGGATAGCGCTTCCGCAGAAGTTCGCCGCGTTCCCTTGTAAGAGTGTAGCAAGTTCTCTGAAGGTGTGACATACTCCAAGTTGTCCAAACAGTTATTGCCCTTGTTGTAGTCCTTGTGGTTGACCTGTGTGTGCTGAGGACTCGGTGGCGGCCCCAAAAAAAGCAAAAGCAACTAGCCGGTGCACTCGAAAGTAACGCCCCTGGATGTGAGTCTTGAAGTAGCCGCTTGCTGTTTGACTCCCTCTCGAGATTAAGCCTCTGCACGAAGTGATCCGACCACAAGAGCTCACTGTTCTTCCTGTCACCTCCGAGCCAGTCACTGGATTCACCATGGGCACCCATGTCTCACTGGGTAGAAGGCGCGGCTCCGCAAGCTCAGGAAACTTGAATTCAGTCCCACCTACTGTTTTGCATGCTTCGCAATACTTTGCAGCTGTGCCCCAACCAATGCCAATCAGCCTAGCAGCAGCGTTGATGGACGGAAAAGTTGTCCAATCGGTTGAGCCTGACAGCCTGCACATCACTGGCTTTGAATGGATATATGTTCTAGCAGGGTTCAAGGCATAAGAAAATTGATTGTTCCTCGCCTGTGTCACATATTCCAAGTTAATCACTTTGTTGTTTGACGGGTTTCCATCTTGGTGATGCACTTGCCAGGCCTCCGTACTAGGACAGCCACCGAGAAAAGCATGGGCCACCAAGCGGTGCACGAAGAAGCGGTGTCCAAAGATAGTGACGTACCGATAGCCTGGTTTCACAGAAGAACCCAGTGTAATCCTTCCGCTGGTAGTCCGACAGCGACCATAAGAACTTACACTCCAGCATTTCTCCTGCGTGCCAAAAAGACGAACCTCGCATAACCCGTAAATTCGCAGGCTCATGCGTGCAGGCCACATGGGCCGCATTTGCACTGCCATGATTGGCTGCAAAATGAAGCCGATGATAGGTTACATGCTCCTAGACAAGATCTACAAACAGGTGATGCACTCCCGAGTTCCAATTTCTCAAGACTCAATCTGCAATAAATCGGGTGAAGACTTTTTCACTCTTTTTGGAGAATATGAATATGGCTCTTTACAAACACAGAAAGTCCATGGGGAGGCCGACGCGTTCTGGCTATGGGAGTCACTCCCGCACTCACGGACGGAGGGCCAAGAGGTCACCGTGTCGTCGTGCGATCGACGTCGTGGCCGCTACATCACTTATATGGATATGCAAGGCCGTCGTCTGGTGAGTACCTGCCTACTAGCTAGCTATACCGGCTATACCTACCTATACGTGTAGTTCCATGGGGCTGAAGCATTGCAAAACTCGTTCCCCTTAACTCCGAACAACAACCGAAACGCTCAGGAAAGATTTGCCACAATATTTGAAGTCCGCATCTCGATAGCTCTCTTCGAACCACAAGCATCTGTGAGCATGCTGCTTTTGAGGTGGAAGAGACGTAGAGCTTTTCAGATTCGAGAGTCCGGCCCAAAGCTAGCCTTCTTGGCCAGACGAAGCAAGTATATAAGACCATGAAAACATGAACATGAAGGCCACTTGCAGAGGAATTGTCATGTTCCATAGCAACTCCTGTCGCAGCCGCTAAGGTGGGTTTTGAGTGAAGTGCCACTCTAGAGTTCGTTGCTTCAAGTGCTCTGAAGACAAGAGGACGCCTTATATGTAAACTCTAAACTTCGGCTTGGAGGGAGGCTACTGTGATAGATGTACCAACCAGCAATGGTGTTTGAGACTACGGGCATCACTATATATATATATGATAGACCAGCTAATATAATAGTATAATAGTATAGTACTTTTTAACAGGCAAGTCTGTTGGGTCTCAGTAACGGGGAGACCCTCCAATATGCAAATGTTAGTGTAGGCCTATGTCCCCAGTCTCTGCCGTGGATTTGGGGGTAACTCTCCAGACCTATAGAGATGACATCACACATGACAACATGAGTCGTTGAATGTTCTTTCCTCCTCTCTAGGGCTCTTCATGGTGCCCACAGGCTCATGGAGTCCACCACGTCCGAATAACATCATCGACCATATCCGGTGTAGTACTCTGTGCGTTATGGTGAACAAGAGAATGCTGATATAGCACCCATGCTGGGCCCGCACCTGCACCGGGAGGTCACCGGCTCACCGTTTCCTCTTCGTGAAGAACCCCTTCACCCACTGAGAACGGTGGCGACCGCTGCGGTGGCGTCCGCTCCGCCCGTCTCGGCCCCGCCTCGCAGCTCGTCGCACACGACGCCCGCGGGGCCGCTGAGCTTCGCCTGGTGGGGGGCGCCCCCGTCGCCTGCGGAGAGCGAAGGCGCGTGGCGGAAGTGAGTGGGTGCGGAACCCAAGGGATTTTGTGAGGCAATCCGAAGGGTGTGATGTAGACTCTTGATATGTCAACTCACCCGAATCCATGTCTGTATTTTGGTTGAATGAATCAAGAGTCGTCTACATGAGGTTTTTCTTGGCCTGTGCTGTGCCCTCTATAGAAACACTTGGATGTTTCATGATGTTTGCAGGTTCCAGGGGCCTGGCACAAGTGAAAGAGCATTTTATGAAAAGCAAAAAACACACATAAAGAAGGCCACCTTGTTCAACAAGAAGGTTTCGGGATGTTTTAGGTGATTCCCCAGAAAGAAAGGCCATCAACCTGAAGATTGATCTTTTGTGCTGCGAGGGGGAGGTCCCCTCACCCCAAATGGCTCGCATGGTGGATGTTCCACGTCCAACTCGTGCTGAAGAATCTCTTTGGACTGGACTGCTGCGCGAGAAGACCAATAAACATATACAAACATTGCTGCTGTTTCACACTGTTCCTGAAGCTTGTTGTGAGGGTGTTTTTTCGACTCCCAAGTAGGCACCCCCCTCAAGTCAGGTGGAGTAGGATGACCAAAAGCGTTGGATGTTGAGACTTTCTGCCTCTCTGGTGTCCGTGACCGCAAGCGCTCAGTGTTGGATGTTTAGCAACAATGAGATCTTCCCTGCCAAGGTAAAAATTCTGAGAAACAATTTCCCCATATTGCCCACTATATAGAGGTTCCCTCACCAGGTAGCAAGCAGGGGTGGTGCTAGACAGTGAATCTGGCAATCCTCAACAAAAGACTGCTCGAAGGGCCCGTTGACAGCTCTGGAGTTGTGCGACTCTGTGGCAATTTTTGTTTGACTCGCTGACTACTTGATGCAGCTGCACCTGAGACAGAAACCTGAACCCGCTTAGCCACTGTGCCTGCATAGCCGTGGTCGCTACCCACTTTCGTGGTGATGATGCCCGTCGTGAGGTCGTAAGCACGGATCCTGCTGTTCCTGAGAAGGGAGCTTCGGATGTTCCAGAAAAGGAGATTCCAAAGGAAATGTTGATATGCAACAATTTGTTTCTGCCAGATGCTAGGAACTTTGACCTATGTTAGTCAACTTGTGGTGTGAACGTTAACATCCCAAACAAGAGAGGCCCCTGAAGCAACCGAAAGGATCACTCAGGGCATCAACTCACTTCGACAAGCCCGACACCACCATGCCGTCTCCGAGTGCACCACGTCTTGAGTTTGGGTGTTCTCAACGTCTGATTTGGGCAGCCACTGATGGGACTAGAGCATCGGAAGCAAAACATATCAAAACAATCCCAAACCTTAGAGGTCTAGAGGTCAGTTTGACCTCAATTTTACTGGAGTTATATAGTCATACAAAAGCATTGCTCAAGCAGGTAAAGGCCCTGGTTTTACGGTGTCTTTGGACTTGTAGGGAAAACATTACAGTAAAAACTATTATTATCTGTCCTGCCACCCGACACATCTCCATTGCTGGAGATCTGAGTTTCATCTCTGCCAGTTTCAGACGCTGAGGATGGTCCCATCACCAAACCAACCCAAGCATGAAAACACAAATACAATGTTAGTTCCCTGCCCTGAGGATATAGACCCTCAAACATAAAGGAATTGAGGGTCAAAAACCATGTTATGGGTTCGACCCCTGCTATGGCGCTCTATAGAGTATCTCTTTCCCCAGCACCCTCACTGCCTTTGATGACCCGGCCCAAACCCACCAGAACCACGACGCCTACCTACCTACCTACCTACCTACCTACCCCCCTCTCCCTCCCTCTCCCTCCCTCTCCCACCCTCTCCCTCCGTCCATTTCATCCACGGCACAAGTAGTCGGCGATCAGCAGCTCGCCCCGGCAGACGGCCAAGCCCCTGGGGTCGTGCAGCCGTGCCATGGTGCCCGGCAGGCCATCGCCACAGACGTGGCCCTGGGCCGGTCGGATCCGAGATCGACCCGAGCCGACCGGAAGAGAGAGAGAGCGTCGGAACGAGACCTGTGGAGGTGGGTTTGGGGAAAAGAGGAGACGAGAAATAGGAGAAATAGGAGAGAAACCGCATAGAAATGATGGAAACAGATTTGGGATTTGGGGAACAGTGATGGAAACATACTTCTTTTCTTCTCTGTGGGCCATTGGATGGTATCCAATTTGTGGAGCCATGATGAGCTTAGCGAACCTTTTGCCTACTAAGAACCTTCCCCTTGGGGGTACCAAGTCCACCCATGAACCAAATGGTTGTTATATGCATGATTACACGGGAGCTTGGAGGTTTGGGCCGGAACTTCCGGCACCCGACCCACAAGAAAAGGTCAGTGCGGACACCTCTTAACCTCCAAAAGGGGGGCTATACCCTACGGTCCAACTATATCCTCAAAAGGTGATTAGACCCCCCCTGGCACTCACCCCAACCACCTTCCCAGGAGGTGGTAGGTGTATAATTAGTAGACTTAGGGGGGCTCTGGTACGTCCTGTCCTTGAGTGAATGCAGCCACGGGACCGAAAGCAAAGGCTCCACACAATTCCCAGCGATCAAATCACCAACCAAGGTCCTGCACTGAGCGTCCAAGCCGGGACAGGGGTGGAGATGTTGTAGGTGAATCGGTTGGACCAGGTCATCACAATGGTGGGATTGATGCAAACCCAGCAACCCAGCACCGCGCTTTTGGGAGACTCTGCAGGTCTCCAGGCCAAAATCGAACCAACTACCAACAAAATGCCAATAACGTCCCGTCTCTGAGTAGGCATGAACTGCATAAGTTTCAAGGATTCTCATGCCGCTAAATCACAGCTACCATAGGTTGGCGACCCACAGCGTCTTAAATCGATACCATCCACCTGTTCAAAGCTCCGGGTGTCTGTAGGTTGGCAACCTACAGCCTAATATACCAGCATCATGTGTATTCTCAAGGCACTTGAATACCACAGGTTGGCGACCATTTAACTAATCAAAGCCATATTTGAATACCATAGGTTGGCGACCCACAGCATCTTAAACCGATACCATCCACCATATCAAAGCTCCTGGTGTCTGTAGGTTGGCAGCCTGCAGCCTAATATACCAGCAATATGTGCATTCTCAAGGCACGTGAATACCATAGATTGGCGACCCACAGCATCTTAAATCGATACCATCCACCTTATCAAAGCTCCTAGCGTCTGTAGGTTGACAACCTACAGCCTATTATACCAACATTATGTGCATTCTCAAGGCACTTGAATACCATAGGTCCACAGCATCTTCGATACCATCTACCTAATCAAGCTCCTGGCATCCGTAGGTTGCCAACCTACAGCCTAATACCCAGCATCTTAAATCGATACCATCTACACTACTATATAATGCTCCTGACATCTGTAGGTTGGCAACCTACAGCCTAATATGCCAGCATTATGTGCATTCTCAAGGCACTTGAATACTATAGGTTGGCGACCCACAGTGTTAAGTCGATACCACCCACCCTATTAATGCTCCTGATTCGCAATCTAGAGCATAATATACTAGCATTATGCGTATTCTCAACCATGTGTTGACAACTTACAGAATCTTAAATCAATACCATCTGCCTAAAAAGCTCCTACAGCCAAATATACCGGCATTATGTGCATTCTCAAGGCACTTGAATACCATAGGTTGGCGACACACAGCATCTTAAATCGATACCATCTACCTTATCAAAGCTCCTGGTGTCTGTAGGTTGGCAACCTACAGCCTAATATACCAGCATTATGTGCATTCTCAAGGCACTTGAATACCACAGGTTACAGCATCTTGATACCATCTACCTAGTCAAGCTCCTTGCGTCTGTAGGTTGGCAACCTACAGCCTAATATACCAGCATTACGTGCATTCTCAAGCCACTTGAATACCATAGGTTGGCGACCCCCAGCATCTTAAATCCATACCATCTACCTTATTCATGCTCATGACATCTGTAGCTGATCACCTAGAGCCAAATATACCAGCATCATTCGCATTCTCAACAATGCGTTGACAACCCACAGCATCTTATATCGACACCATCTACCTAATCAAAAAGCTCCTGACTGCCCAATATAGCAGCATTACGTGCATTATCAAGGCAGTTGAAGACCATGCGTTGGTCAGCCACAGTCTTAAATCGTATACCAGCATTATTTGCATGTTCAAGGCTGTTTTATCCATACCATCTACCTCATCAATGCTCCTGACGTCTGTAGG